AATCGAGAAGGTTTGTTGTTTTTTTGTAATTGCCCGTTTTTAAGTAATTTAAGCTAAGGAACCTGGAGTGTTAAAATCTGTAAAAAAAAAAAAAAATGTCCATGTAATTTTAAAATATATGTTTCTTATTATGGAGACTCAACAATCTGAGGTTTAAAAGTTTTAAACACTGCCTTGACTGTTTTACTATGTCTCATTGAAAAGACATAAAGGAGACTCTCCAATCAGGGTATTTGTGTCTGATTAACGACTGTAAGAAACCATGAATGGATTTTCTTGTTGTGCGTATAAAAAAAATGTTTTACTCATAAAAAGCTAGTATTTCTTAAAAGTTGCAGAGCTATCTGTCTATGCGAGACAAAAAAAAAAATCACAGATTCAGTCTAATTTTCTCTTATTAGTCAGATGACTTACAACTCAAATCGAATAAAAACTACCCAGTGAAGAATAATTTACTAATTTATAAGATGGCATTTTGCATAAAATAACTCCCAATTTAGATTTATTGATGTCAAAATTTAAAAAGAACTAATTTACTATTAAGTTAGATTAAGGGGTCGTTCACAATTTTCAACCTTTTAACAAATTTCTAACACATTGTTTTTGAACAACCCCCTTAAAAATTTGCTTACAAACTTACTGTATTTAAACATGTTCAGAATAAATAAATCATTAAATGAAATAACTATTTAAGCATTAAATTTTATAAAAAATGTGTGATAAAGGGAAAATTTAAGCATTACTAGTTCAAAACATTTTTTTTATTTTTTGTATGAAATAACATGGCATGTATCAAGCCCCCCTGTGGTTTTATGTGGCTGTTTGGCGCCAAGTATAAACTATTTCTTTAATGAATTTTTTTTTTTCTAGTGTTCTAAGCAGGTTCTGATCATTTTCTAGACCTTTCAGACTCATCTAAGAATAACCTGGTTGTTTGTGAGTGAAGGATTACTGTATGATGTGAAGTGTGTGCCATTGTGTTGCTCATACTAGTATATGTTGGGGGGTGGGGGGTTGTTGTGTGGCCTTGCGTCTGGTACTAACTCATCCGGCTATTAATTGTGTTAGCACCGCAGCTGTTTGCATTGGCCAGATTGAGAGCAGCGCTACAGGGCCCTTCTGCTTCCCTCCACTGGGATGAGCTTCCAGACCTCCTCATTCCCACTGATCCCAACAATGCTTCTCATTTCCTCTGACTCTCATTCATTCTTATTTTTCCCCTCCCTGTTTTTCCTGTTTGATGTGAATTATGTTTTTTATTTTCTTATCCTCCTTCGGACCAAGCTGTTACCTCCTTATCAGCTTTAATTCATCCTATCTGTCCATTGGCGACCTTCATGTTCCTGCATAAAGTGACTCAGGATTTAGTAATTGTTTCAGGATGTTAGTTTTCTCCAAGCTTTCTACAAAAAATGTTGACTTTTTCTTTCACTTAATTGGACATTTCCTCCAACCTCACGGAAATCAAGGAAACATTTATGTTTCCAAATTATCTCGAAGAAAAAGTACATAATGCATCTTTATACTTCTCTAATTAGTTAGATTATACCCTGATATTTAAATTTTAAAGGTAAAAGGTAAAAAGTATTTCCTTTTTTTTTAGGTGTTTTAGTTCATCTAAAACTGTGGGGAATGGGACGTTCTGCACTAAGTAAGCGTCCAAGCATTTGTATGATGGCATCTCTTATCAAAAAGCCTCCTCCTGTGCTATGCTGGCCTGACCAACCTGTCCTTGGTGATGTGGCGGCTCAGCCCAACAGGTTGCCATGGCTCTGGTCTTGGCCGGCCATCTGCCCCTGGCATCTGTCCACACATCTGCTTCAGCGTGGACAGCCAGAGAGGAACCCAAGGAGAGCCTCCACTCTAGTTCCCTTTGCATTAATCGCCCTGTTGGAGGTTGTCTTTAGCTTTGAAACTAAAGTGTCAAAGAAATACCCCCCGCCTGCGCCCCTCTTTGTGATACAATAAGGACACCTTACTGTACTCCTTTCTTTATGCAAAGACTTTCCCATAATTGAAACAACTGTGTTTTCTGAGGTTGATAAACAGAATTAGGTTTTTTAGGCTATGCTACACCTATATCCTCCGTTCTTTGTCTCCTTGCTAATAAAGTCCACTCTTTTTTTCTTTTGTTCTGCTTAACTCCCCTTAATATCTGAACTCTCAGATTGACCCAGAGAGGTTGCTCTGATCCACCTGCAGCCATGGTAATGCTGCAATTTTATTAGGATAAAAAGAAAAACAACGCTCTGACCATCGGCTTGGCAGACCGGCCGGTTGGGAATCCCTCTGAACCTGGTCACTTCTCACCTTGCAAGCAAGATTAATTGTCACGAGATTTGTGAAAATCGATCCGGCCAAAAGCCAACAGACACTTTTAGCCTCAAATACAGAAATATATAAATGGATATGATGTCAGTGAGAAGTGGCTGGCTCAAGAAACACAAACATGACTGCGCCAGTTTTAGCTGGAATACGCTCTATTTCATTTTTGGGCAAAAGGACTTGAACTGTGCCTTTTGTGGATGGGAAAGAGATTTGTTCATTCCTCCCGACCAGATTTATTTATTAGTTTACTCCACTAAATGTGAAACAAATCAAGAATGTGATGCATCCTAGCTGCTTCTACGATTGGCTAAAAGCTCAACATGGAGGCAGGTACCGTTTGGTGATTTACCTAACCAGCTAGAAGAAATGTACTGAATGTCCCTCCCTTTTGCAAGCCTTTGCACGGGAGCCTTTCCAGATGTGTACTGTGTAGAATTCAAATTGAACTACATGTATCAATCTGCTAGGTTAGGTAACTTCACCCCTCTTTTTAAACCTGGCTCTCTGTCTGCTGATGGGGCTCATTTTTTCAGAGCTTTCTTCACATATGTGTACAGATGAGGTAAAGTTGTTGGAGAATGATGTTTCCATGTCCATTACGCTTATTTATATTCAGCATATCTGCCTGTTTTGATGTAATTTTGACAACTTTGACCAGCGGTAGTGCTGGAATGTGTTGGACAGAGCCCTTGGGAAGGAGTTCAAATCTCAGTCAAAGGGCCTGAAGTGCTCATAAACTGGAGGAGAGCTCTCCGCCCAAAGCATATATATCTGCTCGTCCAGTGACCGCGGTTGATCACTACTTTTCTTGGCTGAAATAGGCTTGTGAGAACTCTGCAGTTAGTGTTTATTTAGCTTAGAGGCTCGTTACGCTGAAATAGGCTAGCGAGAACTCTGC